GAAGTTCTTCTCGTATGATCTCCGTATCATGTCACGCAGGTCCTGGTCTGCGGTACGGTGTTCACTATTGCCCGACTGAAGGCGAACAGAATCAAGTTCATCGAGACGCTGACACGTAGAGACGACGTCCGTGACAGTAGAAGGATTCTGGGCAACAAGGGCATTGTAGGCAATGCTTCCGATGCCCTTCAGGATGTGGCGCAGCTTTGTCCGACGCGGACATCGAAGAATTGACGCGCCGGCAAAGCGCAAGGACATCCTCGATATAAGATGTGTATGACTCGCCGGGATGTTGTTGGCGAGTATCTAGGGCCCTCCTCGCTAGAGCGGATCGAACGGCTGGCGTGCCGAATACTTGGCGAAGCTGCTGCTTGAAGGCAGGCCAGTCGGTGAGGTCGATCTCATGGTTCAAGAACCATGTCTTGGCAACGCCCGTGTGATTAAGCGATACTCGGCGGAGCTTGTTAGAGTCGTCCCAGTGATTAGTTGCGCTTACCCGCTCGTAGTTATCGAGCCAGTCCTCCACATCTTCGCCGCGGAGACCAGCGAAGATCGGAGGGTCACGCTGGTGGTTTACGATGTAAAGAGGAGGGGCTTGCGGCGCAGTGACGGCTTGCGGCGCAGAGACGGGAGCCGAAAGGGCATCCACTCACTCACTCTGAGACATGTTGGCGGACTGAGGGTCCAAGCGGCGGCCTGAACGGAGCTCCAGCGAGTAGGCGTAGTAAGTAGAGGTACTGGGAACGTCAATCCACCTTCACCACGTATGACGACTCGGTTGTAGCGAGGTTTATGGGCCGTGAACTCGGGAACGAACAAGCGCAACGGACCCGACAAAGAAGCGCTCGTGCCAAGCAGATGATGATTTTCAGCCAGAACATATGATGATGATTGACTGTTGTTCAGATGAGAATGAAGCGCATAATAGATGCCTACAATATATATATTTACATATTTATATATATATATATATATATATATACAGGGGAATCGAGTGTATACCTAAGGGCTCGTTTTCCCATGGTTTGACACAATATCAATGAGATCTAACAGACAACAATGCCAAGAAATGTATAGGGGAAGTTATTAGAACCAATGTAATATAAATAGAAAGAAAGAAAAGTAGGTGAAAAAAACCTAATTTTTCACCCACTTTTCTTTGTTTTTATTTACATTACATTGGTTCTAATAACTTCCCCTATACATTCCTTGGCATTATTGTTTGTTAGACCTCACACACACACACATATATATATATATATATATATATATTTATATATATATATATATATATATATATATATATATATATATATATATATTTTTTTACTTGCCTATTTTTATACATACATAAACTGTACGGCGCATTGCTGCGGAGACAAACGGTGATGGCAAAAATCAGCTTAGAGTGTCTATGTAATTGCTATCGCAGTGGAAAGCTTCTTCCAGTGATCATGTAATGACTATTCTTCGGCGCAACGCGAAAAATTTCAGCTGAACAAGCACCCACCCAGAAAGATGTCACTATTCGAGACAACGATTACGAAGGTGTAGTTCTTAAGCATTCGTTGATGTTTTTCAGCTGTACGTATGTACGTATCGCAACACCAAGTGCAGCCGGTACGGCCACACAAAGAGGTGTAGGGGTGATAAACGACGCTAACTCATTTAAGCCGTCTCAGAAGAATAGAAGGGGGGGTTGCGCTGTTCTTCGTTCCGGTTTCAGTTGCGTCGCTGAATTACTCTGTATTTCATGAATTCAGAACTATTACTAGATACTGCCATTTCGAAACCTCAAAGCTGTATGTGTTCAACGTATGAAGGGCTCCAATTCACCCATTTGGCGTAAATTACTGCCTCCAATAATGTGACAATGAAAAGTGAATTATTTACCTTTTCGCTGCCCATCTAACTTATGTATTTACCCATATGATGAATCCTGCAGCTGCAGAGAAATAGTGACACTATCGAACATGCACCACACTCTCCTGATTTTTTAAAACTTCCGACTAAATTTTTGAGATAATACCAGGTATGTTTGTGCATGTATATCGTATGTCTCATATATATATATATATATATATATATATATATATATATATATATATATATATATATATATATATAATATATATATATATAATGTTTTATGGGCTTGCGCAACTCTGGTACGTGAACATGCTGCGGTTATGCAGCGTTTGAAAAAAGTATTAGGCGATAGGTTTGGTTTCGCAGCAGTTTAGGTCAAGTTAATGACTGTATATTCTGTTGACTACTAAATTTGCACATTCAAAGGCAATGAAGTAAATTTGAATTTCAACAGTGTCCGTTCCGTGGAACTTTCCCCACTCTGTGCAAGCAGCATGAAAACTAGTTTTTAACGTCTCCATCTCCACGTTTATGCTGATGCACTCATGGCAATTTCATTCGGCTGCCCTGCTATGAAACCGCTCTCTCAGGGCAAAGCTCACCACTACAAAAGCTAGGTATATCTCTGTGTTATGCAGAGTGCTCACGTAAATTTCAGCCAGAGTTTAAAAATATGTTGAGGCACACAATGACGACTTGATCAAACGTTTGTTGCTGACTGTCCTGGATTGACTCAGACTATTCTTTGGTTCTGAATATTTGCCTAATGAAGTTACTCTCATTATCACACTTTTTAGAGCAACAAAAATAGTCCGGACTTTCGAATTAGAAAGTTGAGCATTGGTTTGCAAAGGGTGCGATCAGACAGTTTCGAGCTTAATGTCTATCAAAGGTTAGTATTTTTCACTAACAACAAATGCCCGCGAATTGAAAAAAATACCACGTGACAAGCCCGCTTCCGCACTAGTGCACACGATGATTATAGTGCTACATAAGGTTTCACATAACAACGACCATAGCGTTTGCCCGACTGTGCTGTCTCGACATGGCCGCAACGAAGGTGGTGGCTTTGCGAAGAACACGTTTCGCCATCGGCCACAAAATTGATAACCGCTGTGACTGCTTACCACTATCATGAACCTGTGCGAAGGAAGCTTGTGGTTCGTACGCGGAGTGTTAGGGACCATTTACGCTAGCGGTAAGTATGCCTCGCCGTTTGACGTTTGACGTTCTCAGGCAGCTGTGCGTGGCTGTTTCCTTCGCGCACGTCTTCCGATCTCAAAGAATGAGTCTGAAACCCATTTTTCGCCGTTTGCCGTTTTCTGCAGAGCAACGTAGGCAATCAGCGATGAAAGAGTGACATGTCTGGTCCACGTCATCTACTTTTGTCTTTCCGCATTGTGTGCGTCTGTTGCGGGACGCTTCGCGCTGCTTGCTTTTTTTCCCCTATTTTCACGCCACGTCGTACGTGTTGTTCGCAGACTATGTTCCAGCAGTGAATAAAGCACTTTAGCTTGTCCTCTAATCACAAGAGTGCACAGCCGTTCAAAATGACGTCTCCCTAAGGAGGCGTTTGGACAAATGGCGCCAGCTACCTAGCATTAGCAGCCACTAACAAACGTGTAACGTAGGCATTCCTAAATTCGGGAAGGCTTTCCTAAGCCTACAACATCAAATATTTGAGTATGGCTCTGAAAAACGGTGCCAAATTGATTCGATTACTGCGTTGTCGAAGCTGAAAAACATGAATCTAAAGCGAATAGAAGCATCAGCTCAGAGGTTACGAGCTAGAGAGCATGGAAACCGCTTGATTGAATCCAGGTCCTTAACAACTGCATTTAGAAGGGCAACCACGGGGGTCGGACGCTGAGATGCGTCGCTGGTGAAGCCTCCCGTGCATTTTGAAGAGCACTTTAGCGGACAGCGGGCGCTGATGGTCTACGGCACTGCACCGCTACGGCAGGTTTGCCGCTTGCGTGATTCGGCCTTTAGAACCAGAATCAAGGCGGGCGTAGGTGCGCGAGTTACATTGACACGTAGTATTTTTTTTATTTCCAGAGCACTTGTAGTCATTAGAAATAATACTAGCCCCGCCGCGGTGGTCTAGTGGCTAAGGTACTCGGCTTCTGACCCGCAGGTCGCGGGATCAAATCCCGGCTGCGGCGGGTGCATTTCCGATGGAGGCGGAAATGTTGTAGGCCCGTGTGCTCAGATTTGGGTGCACGTTAAAGAATCCCAGGTGGTCTAAATTTCCGGAGCCCTCCACTACGGCATCTCTCATAATCATATAGTTGTTTTGGGACGTTAAACCCCACATACCAGTCAATCAATCAGAAATTATACTAATAGTTGACAAATATAAAGTTAGAAACTGCCTGATCACAAGTTTTTCCAACCTATCTACTACTTTATCATAAAAACGTTTGACCCATCTTTGTTCCTGCAGAAGTAAGTTAGTTAAAATTTTGTAACTGAACAATTGATCGGAACACAAAAAGCAGTCGGCTTCACTCCTGACAACGATCGGCAACAAGCATTTGGTCGCGTCTTAATTGCGGGTGTCGGCATATTTTTAAACTCTTGCTAAACATAGGCGGGGCACCCTGTATGAGTGCCTTTACGAATGCAATATTGAATTATAGATTCTAAGTTTAAAGTGAGTCGCGGTAAAGCAGGGATTTTGCCAAGACACATGCTGCAGCGGTTACACGCAATACACGCTGGAAAATAAAGAATGTGTTCCATTGTGTCATTCGATTAATGAACTACTCCGCACTGTACATTCTTGAACCAGCTAACGAAGTTAGAAAGTGAGGCGTGTATTGAAGAAGCTCTTATCACGTTGGTTTCTTACACATGGCGAACACAATGCTGCAATAAATGTGGTCATTCCTCATATGCTTTTCTTTGATTGGTCCACCATTAACAGATGCGTTGTAGAATTGTCATCTCTAGGTTCCACTTAGTTTTCTTTTTTCTTTCTATAACGGTCGTTCCACGCACATTTTTGTAATAGTACACAGATGCGACCATCCTTTACTATGTTCAAATAGAGGGGGTGACCCAACAGTACAGTTTACAACTATGACAAATGTTCCACACTGGGATTTAAGAAGTGACGTCCTGCTTACCTGAGCCCACTGTAAAAAGGAATGTGTCGGGGCTGGTTCCCTTGAATACATAAAAGCTGATGGTTCGCCTAGAGAACGAAAAAAAAGATAACATTAACAGTCGATGATGCAGGAGAGAAGTATTGACAGGTCGAGATTAGACGGAAGTTAGTTGTTTCTTTTGGTGTATATTTAAATAAAGCACATTGCCCCACCGTGGTAGTCTAGTTGCTAAGGTACTCGGCTGCTGACCTGCAAGTCGCAGGATCAAATCCTGGCTGCAGCGACTGCATTTTCGATGAAGGCAAAAATGCTGTAACTGTAGGCCCGAGTGTGAAAATTTTAGTGCACGTTTAAGAACTCTAGGTGGTAAAATGTTCCGGAGTCTCTTACTATGACGTCTCTCATAATCACATCTAGTTTCGCGACGTTAAACCCGAATTATGAATTTATAAATCACATTGAAATTGCCGCTATGAAAGCGTATCTTTTCCTACACCTACTCTATCTAATTTTGATTATACTGTGACATTTTTCGAGCATCGCATCAGACATCACTGTACTAAAGAAGCACAGTTACCTGGTTCTCATTCGAGCGACTCTAAATCATTATGAAAGAATTTCGTCAAAACAGGATCACTTATCGATAATATTATTAGTAACATTGGTGTTAAGTTAGAGCAAAACGTTTACAGACATACTTACTTCACAAAGCGCTATTGCAAGTGTGTCCTCTAACTACCACCATCGTAGGTCAGTAAATTAGAAAATTCTCAGAAATGTGTATAAATTATGCAAACAATAGTCAACATCCAGTTCAGATGAGTTTCACCTCCAGCGAGTTTCGCCAGGTCGTTTCCCCCCTTCAGACACAGCAAGCAAGTGCAAGCGAAGTACATGCGTGAGGAGACACTGTGGGCCCTAACCCTTTCGGCACCAGAGTTCGCCCTACAGAGGTTGGAAAACGTTTGAGCCATTTCAAGCTAATACTGTTAGTTTTGCTGCAGAATATAGTGTTTAAGGTTAAGGTTTGTCATTTTGAACTAGTTTTTCAGTAATAATAATCTTTTATAGGCCTATATTTACCACTTGATTGTGAGCATATATAGCCACATTATATCTCTAAATGTACAAGCCAGCTCCTGAATAGCTTTGCACTTTAATACAAGCGTGATAAATGACAGTGAGACGAGGTACTAAGATGACCACTAATAAGCGTTCTTCCTGGTTCTGAGCGTCTCTTCAAGGTGCTGACAAATTATAAAAAATTACTGCAACACCAGCCCTTGTAGTGCAGCCTACCTTTTATGAGGAAAACACTTCTACTCACTTTCGGTTGTCATGATTCCCTTGGAGAAACCAAACGTATTCGCCCTTTTTTTCTTCCGGCTTTATCCACATTCTTCTCGTTGATAGACATTCGTATACATTGTCGTTGTCAGAGTCAGAGATGGCGACGGCGAATGGGAAGCTTTCAAAGATCTGCGTACACAGGCATGAGAAGCGTATGTTTCCTTATTACACTGGTGAGTCATGCTAAACTGTGGTGGTGTGTGACCAATTGCTAATTACATAACTAGGCAGGCTGGCCAGGTGAAAACGAAAAAAATTAACCAAAATTAGGAATAATAATTCATATTCACGAAATGAATTACGACGTGTGGGTGAAGCTCCAGGTTTTGTATCGGTGAGTAACGATACGTTATCCAAGCGTTACCCTATAATGTAAATTGAGTGACGTACGGTGTATATAGAATGGTAAATTTATTCTTCTTCCAAACATCTAATTGAATTCATGAAGGATTTAGAAAGCTGTAGAAGTAGGGGGTATTCCACGCAAATGATTCCAAGATCCCGTTGTCTTATCGGTTGGAAGATCCCTTTTCAATATCGGTATTTTTTTGCGA